ACAAAATCCGAAAAATTGACTCGGCCTTTGCAACATTGTTGTAGTCTTGAACGGAGCAATTTGCAACATTGTTGAAGTTTTGAGCGGCGCAGTTGCAGCATTGTTAGACCAGGAAATATCACAGATATGGAACGAAATTACAGGGAAATATCACAGAAATCAGGCGAAATTATAGAGAAATGTACCAGGAAATACAGGGAAACATACTAGGAAATTAAAGGGAAATTAAGGGGAATTGTGCCATGGAATAATGAGATATTAAAAGGAAATGTGCTAAGAAACGAAGGTTATGGGTTATCATCGGTTGTAGAATAACGAAACGTCTTATCCTTTTACGTAAACCTTTTATTGCACGAATTCTCTGACAGAATTAACTTACGTACTAAACATTCTTTCTTCGTTATCACCTATCGTTTGCACTCTGTTTAATGCAAACGTATTCACCCTGAGGAACATTCGACCTTATTATATAAACATCCGCTCGACATTCATACCAATAATTTAACATGCACTCAGCCGTATCACTTAAAAAACTAAACATAAGACGCAGACGTGTCGTCGGCTCGTCGCTGCCACAAGGGAAATAAAAGGGAAATGTCAGGTGGTGTTAAGAGGTGTTAGGAATTATTAGGAGGTGTTAGGAGGTGTTAGGAATTATTAGGAGGTGTTAGGTGGTGTTAGGAATTATTAGGAGGTGTTAGGTGGTGTTCGGAGTTATCAGGAGGTGTTAGGTGGTGTTCGGAGTTATCAGGAGGTGTTAGGAGGTGTTAGGAGGTGTTAGGAATTATTAGAAGCTGTTAGGAATTATTAGGAGGTGTTAGAAGGTGTTAGGACGTGTTAGGATGGTTGAGTTGGAGTTAGAAGGTGTTATGAATTATTAGGATGGTTGAATTGGAGTTAGCAGGTGTCAGAATGTATAAATATGTGTTTAATCTGTGCTAGAAGGTGTCAGAAGGTGTTAAGATGTGACAAAAAGTGGTAGGAGGTGTTAGGTGGTATTAGGTCTAATAAAATGATAACCGATACCTGATCATGTCGGAAGAAGAAGCTTTGTAAGTAACATGTTTGGATGAAAATCCTCAATGATCAGTGATCAGTTGCGTCCACTGAATGTTCCCATTATTATTCTACGTCCACAGTGATACAAAGAACAAAAGCCTGATCATTTCCAAGCAGTAAGTATCTACCCACGCAGTCGACTCGTGATTTTCTCTCGCCTTTTCTATTTCCTAGGACTGGATCGATTCACTCGCCATTCACCCACGGACAGACGGGATTTTCGACGGGCGAGAAAAAACGTCCACGCATTAATACAAATGGCGTCTACCGTTCCCGCTGGTTCCACAGCAATGGAACGATCGTCGGGACGCGTCGCTCAATCCTTTTCTACACCCGCGAACTTTACGAGCGGATTATTCAAACGCCCACGCTCGCCATGGAATGGTTCTCCCTTCCGACTCGCCTATTTTCGTGCGTGCGCGGATGGCAGAAGCTATTGAGGCTGCCTCGAGGGAGTACTATCGTTCAGACCTCGTCGAGGATCCGCCAGAGACACGGAACCGCGCCCTGCATTCAAATTCGGAGTTAAACGATCCCCGACGCCATTGAAAGTAACATCACCGTCTAGATCATCACTGTCATTGTGCGATAAAATATAAAAATCCAAACAGTTCCAGCGTAGTAGCATTAGAAGACCTCACGAATTCATTACTTGATATATTTTCTCGAGTCTCTAATGAAGAACTGACTGCTCCGCCTAGAAATTAATGAAAATAAAGATCTATAAATTTATTCACAGCGTTAAATCTCCTCACATCGTAATCACTCCCAACTAAATAACATACATTGTCGCTACTCACCCAATCGATTCCTCTGGTCCTCGGGAAAGTATCGATCAACGTTCAGCATCGTCTCCGTCCCTCTCGAGTCATCTCCGGGGACCAGGCACCCTTGTAATAGAAAGATCAAGGAGGTCGAGCGCGTGATCCTCGCAGTCGTATCTCTTCCCTGCCCACGCGCAGGACGACACGGACTGCCCCTTCCGTCTCTCCTATTTTCGTAGCAAGACGGATGTCAGGAGGCGAGAAGATCCCCGTGAGATCCATGCTCGTGTCAAGACACACCGGAACGACGCCTGGATAGGATAGGATAGGCCTGGCCCGGGACAAGCGGGGCGAGGAGGACTCGCGCACGGGAGGAAGGAGGATCGGGACACCGGGAGAACGAGAGGGAAGTAGCGACACCCACGCAGGTGGGACCACACACGACGGTCCCGTCATTTGTTGGACATCGCATGGGCATGTCGTGTTCCACGGACACGGGGTACACAGCATTGTACACTTCTTGGCGCTGTCCCGCGGCGTGTCGTACCCTCCGCCAGCCCGTGCAACTTTATGGTTCGAGACGATTGCGTGCGACTCGAATAGACACCAACGCCACCCGCGACCAACCAGCCACCTAGCCCGTGCGCGATTGATCGACCAGCCTGGCGGGAATGATTAGAAATCCACGGAGTAATTAGTGGGTTGCGACGCGAAAAGGGGTCCGTTGGTGACGTGGCTCGATGACGTACCCCTGCTTGAAAGCTTGGAAGCTGGGAAGCTGGGAAGCTGGGAAGCTTGGAAGCTTTGATATTTTCTGGGGAGGGGTCTTCGTCGTTTCACTCGGGTGATTGAACTAGTTGGTGAATGCGATTCCAATAGGTTTGAGAAAATTAACCCTTTGTAGTACTCGAGAGGTGACTCTCGCTAGGTTTCCCTTAGGTTTAATTTCTTTGGAACTCGAAGTGCCAATAATATGATTGTCGTTGCGGTAAAGGTGGCCGGATTGTCAAATCTCAAATTAGAGATCTCTTTTTCGAAGTCAATCTAAGCTTAGATCACTGCTAAACTATTGATTATTTTTCTGTCGGGAGGAGCGCGTAGCGAAGAGATTCTCGAATATCGTTCTACTACGTAAGACGAGAGTAGCGACAGGGGCATTAGTGTAGGCGATGAAATGGTGCTTCCTGTCAGACGGGTATTACCGATACATTGTATCTATACCTGCATCTGCGCGCGATAAAATCGGTTGTTGTCGGTTAGAGGTGTGCTAATCTCGTTGACAAAATTATTGAAAATTTCCTCGTGTCTTGACAGTAAAACGGCTCGGTTCCAGCGTGGGCGTTTAAGTGTTCCAGTTGCACGGTTCGTACGTCGAGAAAGGAGGCGCTCGGGGCGATAAAATGCGCAATTAGGTAGGTATTAATGCCGGAGCATTGTAGGTGGTTAACCGGCGACAATTGCGTCCTTCGACCTGAAACGGAAGAGTCGTTAGTATAAATGTTATTGTACAATAATGTATATGGGCACCGATAATATAAATAAAATAAAGTGAAAAGTACTCGTTTAAATTTATTTATCCTTCGAAAAGCGTTATCCTACTTCCTCGATCCTAAAGATACCGCGTTAATAATACTCCGCTGAATACACGCCACCTTCGAGATGATTACCCACGATTACACCTACGGAAGAGTTGCACCAAGCGAACGAACAAAGCCATACAGATCAGCAGAAACATAAGGACACTCGAATCAAGGGAAGACAGATGGACAAAGAGACAAGGACTCCTAAGAAGGTGAAGCTCAGAGGTGGATGGACGCCCGGGCGTCCAGAAGAATACCGTTCAGTCTTGACCCCAGGGATACGTTATTGATGGTGCTACACCGAGAATGGTGACTAGATGGTAATTTTCGAAGGGACAAAAAGGGACGACGGTATTCCGTGCGCTTAGTTCCTCCAAGGATTGACATCCTGACGCGCTAGGAATGCTGGATCAGCTCTCGATCGCTGGGAACGACTATTGATGCCACGATCGACGCCGTTCGATAAGAGGACGACGTAGAAAAATTCCTCGCGAGCCGATGGAAAAAAATATTGCCGTCCCGTGCCGCGAATAGAACTCTCTCCCGATCTCCTCGCCGGGATCTTGCCCGGCTACCGTTACTCGAAAATTAACATTTCCGCTTCTCGCGCGAGCCTCGAGTTCCTTGATACCAAGCGACCGATTAAATTCAGCGGAACGCAATTAGTTAATACGGTTTCCTCGGTAGATTCACCGGGAAGGGAAACGGAGGGGAACACGAAAACTGAACCCGGCTGGCTCGATCAAAGTCGGACCAAGACCGGGAGCCATCTTTTGACGGCGAGGCGAGATAAAATCGAGACTGATGCGGGTCCTTAACCGTCTAATGTGCGCGGTATTACGCGGCGGGATATTAAATTAAAAGCTTCTGAATTATGCAGCTGCGATATTGGAATGCGATCGGAACCGTGACGAGGCACGCCGAAGGTAAAAAAGGTGATCTTCTACATTAATTTACGGGATTTGCGCAACTGCGCAAGGAAGCCAGAGGGTTGCTGCATCCCAACCGGTCCTGGAGCGTCGTATGAATTTTTTAACGGGGAGGGGGGGAGGCAAAGAATTTCACGAGGCTTAAAAAATCTTTTCATTTGAATTCCTGATTGAAAAATAAATAGTTTTCTTATTTTTAAAGATATTCTCCGTTGCATGATGTGGATATTTACCGAGAGTGAAATGCCTGAGCCCTGTACAATCGGAAGTATACTCATAAAAATATTTGTCGAAGGCCCTACCCATGCTAATTATTTTTATAAACACTCCAACCAGTGGAAGTTTCACCTGCAACAAACGTTCAGGTGGTCTCGCGTAGGTCGTGCCGTCGACGCTCAAGGTCGATGCATCCTGACAACGCTTAAGGACCGGCGGTAATTAATTATTCATCCGCGGGAATACGTTTCTGGAAGAGCGGATTGACGAAAGTTCCCGTGGAATATTACGTTATTAATATCGCATGACGCGCACGCTCACCCGGGAGAACGAAACCGAGGGATATTAACGACGCCGCGACGCAGAAAAATTTCCCATTAAGACAGCCGTAATAAACGTCCGGTCTGTTTGGAGGAGTAATTTAACACGCTGGACGTCGAATGAGTTTCGCACAATCGCAGACGCGCGCTCGCAAAATACAGGTGCCGGCCTGGCAGCGCGGAAAAGGACTCGAAATGAGATTTTTAATATCCTCGCGGGTATCGTTCAAAATGGAGCCTTCGGTAGACGGATGGACATCGTTCAGTGAAATGTATAGGTCGAGGAAGGAGCCGCGAGAACCGAAGTCATTAGGAGAGAAACTTAACACTTCGAGGGGCAGATCGCTATTAACTTCGAGGAGGTGGATACTCGGGGCTCTATTAGACTCGTCAGCGTTGATAAGAATGTTCTCCTTTTGGATTTTCTTGCTGGCAAGGGTGGAGTATTTAACTCAATTTTAGAGGCGTTCTGTCAGGGGAGGTAAAGGCGACCTTATTCTCAAATCTAGATAGCTTAGAATTCATGCCAATAGAATGCTAAGAAATCAGAATAGATACCAGAAAAAAAGGCCTCGAGTGCAGAGGGTTAAAAATGTCAGGAGCTTAAAAGTGTCGCGATTCAATAATGTAACATTAGACACAAAATATGTACGTATTACTCATTAATGAAATGGAAGGAACTTTCGTGAGAACCTAATATAATTCGTAGTGCAAAGGATTAACAATGCGTTCCCTTGGCCTTCTCTGACCATTGATCCCTGAAACAACGCGTATCCACCCCATTCTTACGGCGCGTTTCCATCGTATCCATCATCGGCATCCCTCCATGAATCAAGGGGATCCCCGCGCTAGTGGCCAGACACAGACACGCACAATGTAACGATGCAAATTGCGGGTCGGTTCGAGACAAAAGTGTTTGCTCGCGCGATTTGCGGTCGGCGGGAGAGCCAGATCCCGGAGGCGGCGGATTTCAATTACGAGTCTTCAGCGGCTGACAGACGTACAGGGGCTGGCGGTAGCTCATTCGAAATTCGGTAGCTCGGACCGAGCGCCTCACGGTAATGAAACATTCGCAGCGCACCGCAAATTGCCCCTCGCCGTGCCAAGGCAAGAAACCGAATGTTTTCGGCCGCCTACTTGGGTTTACCTTTCCTTCTTCCTTGGATCTTTTCGTCCTCCTCTCGCGAACGGCTTCTTGCCGACTTTTTTCCCCCCGATCCTCCCGCGAAAGCTTGGTCCCGACGTCGCGTACGACGCGGCTGCAATCTCGTGTGCAATTATTGGTTTTCGTGCCTGGCCAATCTTACCCGATGAGACCGCGGCTACACGCTGGTTTCGTGGCTTTCGGAACCTGGGCTCGCGAGATATACCGGAATATCGCGTAATACGTTTGCCACTGGAAAGGATACGCGGTGTTTTGGATGATTGCAGCTGGACCCATCCGAGGATTACACCGGGAAATGTAATTGATCATCTTTTGATGCGGTTAACGTTGCATTCATTGCGTAAATCGATTAACTCCACCAGTCACATAAAAATTGTAACATTACTGACGGTCATTTTTTGACTATTCTTTCTTATTAATTTTATGCACCGTTAGAGCAAAGCTACATCTATATTTGTATTGCACACTATTGAATCGAAATAAACAATGCAAGTGCAAACACGAGAAGCCTGATTTGACAAATTAAATTTAAAAGAAAATATCAACGTATTTATTATTTGAACAATTTCGACAGCTGACGTTTACTTTTTTAACTTTTATTCAAAAAAAAAAACATTACGCAATGATAACACACGTACAGCCAAATATCAACACCAAACCAATTGCAAGTGCAACGAACCACTTACAATTCGATTTAAAAATCCGGTATGAAATTTGAAGCTCAGGGCGTTCAAAGGTAAAAATTGTTTCTATTATAATAATTCCAGCACTCACACAAACGCATCCAGACCCCGTGCAATGTTATCAGGCGAATCCCTTTCGGATCTCCCTGAAGCAATTAAATCCCTTTCGACAACCGACGAAATCCATCTAGAAGCGGATTCTGCATTCGGCGTATTACGCTGCATTAATTGCAAAGGCCGCTGGCAGCCAGCAATTTTAAGAAATTAGTCCGCGGCTGAATGCGTCGGTTGGGGAGCAGGACCACTTCAGAAAGCAATAACGTCGAAACCACGAGCGTGACTCTCGTTTCCACAGGATCGTTTTACCGGAGCTATTACGTTCCCACGTGCTCATGGGAGAGCGAGAGTAGTAGTATACACCGGCGATATGGCGGTTCGTAAGACCAGGTGGTACGGTATAACATTGGAACAGCATTCCACGTTGCAACTGATGCGCGGCGCCGTGCAGCGGCCGTTGCACACGACCCCCGTAAGACCGACGAACGTGATAGCACGTCACGACGAAGAAGAAACTGAAGCTCTATATACGCGCATAAGTTAACACCGGCGTCTTAACCGTGCAATAGTTTGGTCACCATAGAGAAACCGTAACCGCGTGTTGGATATCGTTTAGGTTAATCTGTACCTTCTGTACCGTACCATCTAATCTTCATTACTTTAGGTTAGTCAGTAGTTTTATCTTCATGGAATAAGTAAATATTTTTAAGTTTCAAACCTAGTCATCCGTCCATACACCAACTTCGCATCCGACCCTTGTATCCTTACTCATTAACTCCGAATAACACACCCGACTCCTGAACATCCTACGATTCTCATTGGTCCTTCCCCTTATTTCCACCACCCTTCCGAATCCTTAAACACAAACCTTTAGAAGCCACACCAAAACTGCTCTCCCGAGCTTTCTCGTAATACAATTTAACAAAAGTAGGAATGTAGCGGTAATCTAGTTTCTAAGTACCGAATTGTACTAGAGACCGAACTTTGAAATAAATCAGAATCTAACACGCGTTATACAAATCAAGTATCTAAGTAACATCCAACTTGTATTTTACAAATAAAACCTAAGTAGCATCCAAGTTGCATCGTACAAGTACCTCTTTGCTCTACTTTACAATCAATCGATAACCCCTGAGAAATCCCTGTCCACGATTCCGCAACATCGTCGATCGCTTCTTCCTCGATCGTAATTCTCGTGCGCCGTGAATCGCGCGTTACTCGTTTGAAAACCATATAAAAGCTGTTCTCGCTGGCGTTGCCAGCCGATGCAAGAAACGCGATGAATCGCGAAGAGACCTAGTTCGAGACAGGACAGGTACCTCGGTAAGTTCGACGGTGCCCGCAGTTAATCCTGTTTAACGGCCGATGACGCATCGTGTTCAACTGCGAACGTAACTGGTATCAACATATTCATTCTTGGATGCGATCAGGGGATACGTGCTCCAGCGTAGTAAGTATGGACGAACCTCTCGAACGTCCCTCGATCCCTGTCACGTATCGAGTAAAAGTGTTCTTCGCTCG